AATTATTGGGAAAATGTAGATCTTATTTAAAATTAGTTATATAGTGATTAGTGATGACTAGATGTTAATATATTTATAGCTAACCATGTGTTCATTCACAAAGCTCTAAACATCAACAACAACAAAAATAACAAAACAAAACAAAAAAAAACTTTCAGGCATCATTGAAGATAATGGACCATTGGTGGTAGCACCACTTTTAGACACTACAGCAAGCTATTTGAGGTTGAAAATATTCTCAAGTTATTTTATAAAATGTCACATACAATATATGAAAAATTGACTATCCATATGGGAGAAAAAGAGTCTCAGGCTACATACTTATACATTTATGCAGCATGCATGGGGGTCTCATTTTTGTAATTTTGAAATGTACAAGCAGGAAGGGTAGCTAAGTCTAGTAAGACAGGAGGCAAATGTCATATAAAATAAGAGATTTATTTTTCTGTTTTTTTCCTTTGTAACAGGAATTATGTAAAAAGGATAAGTGCTTTCTACTTTAGCATTTCAATGAGACACTGATTCCTAATTATAATCTCAATTTAATGCTGCAATTGTTACAATTTCAAGAGACAGTAACAGGTGAAACAAATAGTTGTACCAACAACTATTTTTCAGATGCTTAAGAATTCATAGCTTTAGCAATGAGACCAGTTTTAACAGCTTAAACTTACTTTATATAGGTCAAGAAGTACAAAGGAAAGGGTTTATAAATGAAGCATTTTCTAATAAGCATGGATGTTACTGGCATGTGCTCCATTTTTGCTTTGTTTTAGATTTTTTTTTTTTTTTTTGCTTTACAATGAGCATCATAATTGTGCCGTTTTATGGGCATTAAGAACAGTATTTTGGTATATGTACAAGTTATATAAAGATTACATAATAGTATTACCATATCCAACACCTAAAGCTTAATTATTTCTTTTTGGCAAGTTGTGTTCTATATAGCAGAATTTATTTACTATTAAAATTTCTGAATGGTAGCTGTAATTTTGAGTCTTTTGACCAATTTTGCCATCATTCTCCCAAGACTGGTAACCAATACAGTATCCTATTTCTACTCTGAGATCACCTTGAGCATCATCTTCTTTTATGCCATGGGAATTGGCTTTAAGTATCTTGTAAAACAAGACTGTGGACAAAGAAAAAGCTAATAGTTGAACATAAAGTTAGAGCATTGGAGATGACTTTGGAGATCATCTTGTTCAAAATAATGAGGAAATAGGCATAATTATAGTATGACACAGTCTGAGGGTAAGGTGATTATCATCACAACTAAAAACACCTCCAGAATAATTTCCCTTGTACTATAGCATAAAAATGTACCAACCTTCAAAATAGAAGAAAAGGGAAGGGGTGGGGGGAGGAAAAGGACGACAAAGAAAGGAAATGTAGAAAGGACAGAACATTGATTTTCAGTTTCTTTTTATACATTATCAGGTAGATGAGAAAGCCTTTTGACATTTAAACTCAGGGTAGATATTGAAGTTCAGGCAAGAAATTACCAAACTAATTTTTTAGAGTTCTCACCTCACAGGTTCAAGTAAGAATCATGTGGGTGGCTAGCCATCCCATTTCTCTAATATCCTGGCAAGATGCTAAGAATATCAATGAATCTCATTCTCTGAATTTAACCTCAATCATTCTCTTGGTTTGACCACTGGCATCAACAATGGTTTCTGAAGGCCACCTCTACATCCAGTGTCTGAGGTGAGGTGCTACCTGGCTCTAGATCACAGTTGTTGACTGTATACCACTTTGAACAGCACCTGAACAACGAAAACAAGCATTTTAACAATTTTTGTGATTCAGAAAATAAAATTTCTGAAAAACAATTTACTTTTCAACTCCACAAGAATTCCCACGAGAAAATAAAATATAGGTAGCTTTGCTTACAGAGTTACAGTAAAAGCCCACATTTGGAAAACTACAAAAAAAAAAAAAAAATAGATTTTGTTTGCTACTCAGTGATCCTGTAGAGTAGTGGATGCATGGTCTATGGAGACACTGGGAACTTAGCTAGAAGTTATTTTTTTTCCTGTAAACTTTACAGAGAAATGAAGAAATAGCTATAGGCCAATCTAGTGTGGTGTGATGGCTGGCATTATGACTCAGCTGGGTTTAGATTTCTTCCCCATTTTTATTTTGCTTCTTTGTCAACCAACTGTGAGCTCAGTTATTCTCTTTAATGTCTTAGATCAAGTGAGTTCTGACTATGCACGGTGGAAGCTCACTACTGTAGAAATGCCTGTCCTTTTGTATTTGCAGTTTGCTTTTTAAAATATATGGGTATTGTACTTGCATACCTGGTGCCTCTGGAGGTCAAAAGTGGTATTGGATGTGGGTGCTGGGAATCAAAATGAGGTCCTCTGTAAGAGCAGCCAGTGCTCTTGACCAATGATCCACCTCTGTGGTCCATGATCTTTTGTACTTTGAAGAACTTTTAATTGTGGTTTATCTCAGTGACCCACCATAACCTCTAGGGACTAAATGTAGCGATAATTAGCATGTCTTTACTTTGTAAGTGTAGATCAGGATCCACAAACCTCAAAGGACTGACCTGAGGCCATGGCACTCCTTGCAGGAGGATTAACTTCTCATAGGAGAAATTAGCTAAGATATGTTAAGGTGGGAAGATGGTGCAGTAGGTAAAGGCTTGCTGCACAAAATTGAGGACTTAGTTTTGGATCCCAGGACCCGTGTCCAAGCCATACCCATGTCTGCAGGCATTAGAATGGAGAAGTGGCAGAGGACAGGACAAGCATACAGGCTAGCCGATCTAGCCTAAAGGTTAAGCTGCAAATTCAGTGACAGGATGTGCCTCAAGAAAGAAGGTGGGAAGTGACTGAGGAAGACATAAATGTTGACTTTTGGCCTCTAAACAACATACAGGGAATGTATCTGCACACATGTGCATATAGTACACATATACATACCATGAAGAAGTAGCATATGTGACACTCTGTTCCTACTTACTCATTAGTAAATGGAACTTAAAAGGGAGATGAGCCTGTCTGTACTAGTTAGAGAGAATTATTAGAGAGAAAAGAGTATTGAGACAAGTATAACAAGTTAATTGCTATTGATGACCCTATCTTACTCTTTGGTTAAGAAACCTGCTGCTATTATATCATTACAATCATAAAGAGCAACCCAGCAACAAATTACTAGAAAAGAAATTGTATGGAAGAGTATAGACTATTTTAACAGTTCCAGCAGGTAATAGAGTTCAGCATGGCAGTCTTCTCCTGAGTCACTTGGCCTGCCAAACGCGATTGACAAAATGAGGTTTTGTGGTTGGGCCCAGGCTGGCTTCCACAGCTATCATTTTGAGAGGATCACCAGGATCTGACTAAATTAAACATGTAAAGACCTTTTCCAAGGTATTCTGAACAAATGCCAAGACACTTGAAAATGTCTGATTGGTATTAAAAATAAAAGTAATCAACTCTTTAGCTAGCATTCAGAATAAAAGAATCATAGAATGCAAGTAAAGCATTTAAGAATTCAATGCTACATTTAATAAGAAAAATGTAGCAGTCCTTTATGCTACAGCCCTTTGCCTCATCGTTTTTCCCATTTACTCTCTTTCACGTACACACTTTCTCTTCTAATACTATTGCCCTCTGACCCCATTCTGTTTTTCTCTCTGGTCTTGGTCCTTTGCTTTCTCAATAATATACTAATTCTCAAACACTAAGACCTTTTTTTCTTTTTTTTAAACCCTTCCTTATGAATATTAAAACGATGTGGCTTTTTTTTTTTTTTTTGCCAGATTCAGAATCTCTATGATGTTACTAATTAATGATAAATTTATTTGTAGATTACTGGAGGGGTTATTAGGTATTTGGTTTCCAGATTGTTTAAATTGTACCAGAAAATATTTTATAAAAAGTGATATACATCTTCCCATACTAGGTTCATTATGTACATGAGTGCTATTGTTTTTTTTCCTTTCTACTTCAATCTCCTTATGAATAATATTTAACAATTAACGCATAATAAGAGCTTTAGAAATATTGTGTTACATTTTATAAAATTTCTGCAAGGAGGAATTCCCACTACTATTATAACATGAGGTTTTACTGTGATTCCTTTCCAATTTAAACTGGGTCTTTGCTAGTGTACAATATCTCTGTAAAAAGTAATTAGCACTATTTTTCCCCACCTGCCATTTGTAATTACATAGAGGTTATGAATATCTCACCTGTTCATGATACCTAAATACTTATAATTGTTTCTATAACTATTCAACGCAAGGTAAAATTAAAACTTAACTTTATTTTATTTTTTTAATGATGTTTCACTATGACAAATTCAGATGGCTGCACATTTAGTAAACCTAAATATTAAAACAAGCAAAACAAACAAAAGAACACCACTTAATTCTTATGTTTTGCACTGAAAACTAGTCTCTCTTGTCAGGCCTTTAAGAGAAAGAATGCATGCTGCATTTATAAGACCATGGTGAGACTAACTGTGGCAAACATCAAACATGAATTGCTATTTCATTTAGGTCTTCCCAGAGGGGCTCAGAGGTAACAACTAATTAGTTTTCATGTTTGTGTTATAGTTATCTCTCCTCGATTCTTTATAGCAACAAAAACATTACAAAAAATGCTTATTTCAATTTATAAAATATCCCCATGCACTGAGGGAGCCCATTCCACATAGAGGAATATGTTCTCAGCCTAGACACATGGAGGTGGGCTTCAGTAGACAATATCCTAATCATGTCTCCCCCCTCAGAACCCATGTCAATCCATTTCCAAATTTCATTTTCTCTTCTTTATTAATTAATTAATTTATTTATTTATTGTTAACCCACTAGGTAGAATTAATGCAACCCAGATGTACAAGGCTGTGGGTATCATCCTCTGGGGAATTTATTAGTGGCCACAACAATAGTAAAGGTACTGTACTAAAGAGCATTTAACAGACATTACTGAGGCTAGTAGCTGCAGCTTATCTCCATATTTGCCTAATCACCAAACACTTACCTGGATAATACCGGGCCAGTCCAGTGGCACTGCCGAACACCTGCCACAGCAATGTTGGGTCTTCATCTCGATTTCTTTTGAAAACTTCATCTAAGGCACTTGTCCAGTTGAGTTCATTTAACACTATGGTTGCTAACATGAACAAGAAAAAAATAATAAATTTATTCAACTGTACATTAGTATTTTTTTTCTAACTCATATTACATGTTCTTACTGTCTGCTATAAAATACTATAATTATACTGGAAATTGAAAGGTTTTAAGCATAGAGCTAGGTTTTCAGTAGTCCGATTTATAATGAGTAACAATCCATAAATCCCACATATTGTACAATGTTCAGTAGCATCCTATCTATTAAGTGATAGTACCATGCCCCCCCCAAACTGTGGAAAGAAAAAGTGATTTCATATGTCCTTAAACATTTCTTTGGTATTAAATTACTCTCAGGTACAAAGTACCAAGAGCTCCCTAGACACATAAAGAAAAGAAAGTTGGTTAATATTTCTTGGCTGTCTCCGAGGTGTCTACAATAGAGTTTAACAGTGTAACCCTCAAATTCTACTGATTCTCTGTTGTATACCCATGTAAATTACCTGGGTACCAGACTTAAAAAAAAATAAAAAAAACAACAAACACATGGTTATCATTTAGCACCTTTATCAGCTGTGCTTACACAACACTGGAAACATATATACTGTTTGGTAGAGGAATAATTTACTGGGACATTTGATAATGTCATGTTAGAAACTGGAGACTAGTGAGTCAATGCCTCATCAATACCATTTGGAGCAATAATTCATTTTTCCCTTCACTCAGTTAATAATAATTGGTAATAAGCACATGTAATTAACTTAGATACTGAATTATAACTACTTACAGACCTAGATAGGTAATCCAAATACATATCATTGACTAGTTTGGAAGAGTATCCAGAAAGATAATTCCAGATAGAACATAAGTCAAATAGTATTTAAATAATGTGACTCCATGATCATAACATCATAACATAACCACAGCATAGTTAAATTTCTCTGGGAGTCTGTGGTTGTAGCTGTATACAGTACCTTGCCTAGCTGTATACAAGGTCTTTGCCTTGATTTTCAGCATGATGGAAACTATGTGTGTTAGCACACACCTTTAGTCCCAGCATTTGTGCTGTGGATGTAAGAAGGTCATGAGTTTAAAGTTATTCTTACAGGCCAACCTGGGATATCTAAATCCTACCTAAAAAAATGACTAAAAGGAATATATTTTTTCCAATGCAAAAAAAGTAGTGTAGATAATTCATGTGTTTCCTGTCCTAGTGTGTAAAATATGAAGCAAGATTCCAGCAGATCAACAGAATGAGGCTGGGGTCATAACACATATGAGAATTGATACTTGAGCTTTAACTGGAAGACTATGCTTTAATTACATGTGTTCTCAAGATTAAAGTGATTCTGGATGATGCCAGTTCTTAATTCTTCTGAGCATGCACCTTTATAGCAATGAAGCTTCCTTTAATCACTGAGTTAGCTGTGCTCCAACTGCTTAATATTCTGGGCCATTAATTCATTCACCTCAAAGTATTTTCTAATTTCTGTAATTGTTTTCTCTTCTATTCTTTTCCATGACCAGAGGAAAGGCAATCATACTGAAGTAATATACAGGCTTTATGAAGCTAAAATGAAAAGAGTGCTTGCCTTTTCATGGGCTTTTTAACTTCTGTTCTTTTGTTCTATTCTGATTTGTTTTTAAAATCTTATTACGTTTTATTATTATCCTAGATGGCTGTTTATTTTCTAAGGAGAGAGTGACTAGGGGCGGATCCAGACAGGAGTGGAGGCACAGAGAAACCGAGAGCAGTAGAGAGAGGGAAATCAGAATCAGAATCTATTGTATGAAAAATATACCTATTTTCAATAAAAGAAATCAGAAATCCCCCTAATAAAAGGGACATGAACCTGTAAAAAAAGAAAGTTACATGGCATGTTTGTTCATTCATTAGTTTCTTTTTTATTTGTATTCTTTTTAAAGACAACAACAAGCACAAAGGAATTACAAAGCCACCTGGGACCAGAACCCTGATGTAGCTCTCATTATGGAAAACTGAGATTTTCATCTTTATGTATGTGATTACTCTCAGAAAGATCACGTGTGTGTGTGTGTGTGTGTGTGTGTGTGTGTGTGTGTGTGTGTGTGTGTGAATATTCATGAGCTGGGTCAGAACTATGGGACATCTGGAATATTGAAGAATTCATATTCAAAAGCATGAACCCATGAACACAAAGTGGCCAGTTATATGGAAATTTATATTCACATAGATAACCTGAACTGATACCATTCATGAATATTTAAGATATTATACAAATTATCACAGAGGAGGACATCATATTTTCCTTTGAACATTCATGACTTTTATAGTAATATTGTATAGAACAAATCATGATTTTAGTTAGGATCCATAAACACTTCATTAATGTCCAAACTTTTTAATTTCCTTGACCCTACTTTACAACAAGCAACAGAAAATAGGTAATAATTTTTGTTAAATTTTTACTGTTTTGATAGACTGCTATTTTTCTTGATTTTATTAAATACATTAACAATTATGATTTAATAGGATGGGCACATCCTACAGTTTACAATTACACACTGAGCAAAACAGCTAATCTCTAACATATTGCTGTCCTTGTGGGAATGTGTTAAAATTCCCAGTTGATGCAGTTGAAAAATTTTCTAGATAAGACATAATAGAATTCTAACCATTTTAATCAAAATGTGTTCATCTACAAATGAGCAAAATATATAAAGTACATTTGGAAATGAGGCACTATTAAAGTTTACTCAGAATGAAGAAATGATAATATATACCGATCACGTTAGCAAGACATAAGCTTGGAATCCAGTATGTATCTTGGTGTCAGGATACGGGCATTATATATAAGGACTTCTACATACAGTGATAATTCTGTTAGTTCCAGTCTCGACTTGAATGTCTAATGCCAAAGTCAAAACACAAAGGTCAGTCACAGGAGTCTAGACCTAGTAATGCGCTCTTTGTTGTTGTTTATTTGTTTTTTTCCCACTCTTATGAGACAGTTTGAAAGTATTGTCACAATGGACACAGCCTTGGACTCCAATCTTTACCCAGAGATTTAAATATGGAGAGAACTGACCCACAGTCTTACCATTTCCCCAGATGCACCCTCCAAATTCCTTATGAAACAAAATCCTGAGAAAGTAAGAGAAATGACTACATTACAAGATTTTTTTCCCTCAAATTTTACTGAAAATACCTAAAACATCAAAGCAACCAGGAAAGCAACCATGCATGTGATTTCAGAACCTTTGTTATTCAGCTATATTTTCTCTAAAACAGAGTATGAACTATTTTTGCTTAGTATATATTACTTAAAAACTGAAATTATCCAAATTTTCATTTGCAACTGATAAAGAATAGCACACCAATAATTACAAATGTCACACAGGTGTCCATCTGTATCTTGGGTGGACAATGCTGAGATGACTTCTGGGTCAATAGGGTGGACGATGCTGAGATGACTTCTAGGTCACTAGGGTAGACGATGCTGAGATGACTTCTGGGTCACTAGGGTGGATGTTGCTGAGATGACTTCTGGGTCACTAGGGTGAATGATGCTGAGATGACTTCTGGGTCACTAGGAGTAGATGATGCTGAGATGACTTCTGGGTCACTAGGGTGGATGATGCTGATATGACTTCTAGGTCACTAGGGTGGATGATGCTGAGATGACTGCTGGGCCATTAGTAGAATCACAGAACTAAAGCTGAACATGAACCTTAAGAGAACCCTAACCCTCTTCTTGCTTCAGATCCTCCCTTCTACCTCCATTTAATTTCCATACAATCAACCAATCTATAGATCTTCCCCCCTTGAAATTTGTAGTTTAGTGAGGAAGATGCTGTTAAAGTAGCAATTGAGGTTACAAATGGGTAAAGATAGCATACTACAAAAGGTAAAAGTTTCTATATGGAAATGTATTTCATGCTGATTTTTGTGGCTACGTCCTTTCTAGTCTTGTGGCTATTGCTCTTTTGTATTTTCCTGACTTCATAAAATCAAATATATAAAGCATATCTATTTTATAATAGAAAAAACAAACAAACCCACATTCTTCAGAACATTATTCATCTTCAGGAATTATTTCTCCAGATGCTAAATATATTATTCATTTTGATAATAGCAGTATACTGAAAAGTATTTATAGAACTTAGTCTTACTAATTAATGTTCAAGGGATTATTAAAAAATATTTCTCTTACAATTATTCATTAAAGTCATCAAAATGCAATTGACAGCACTTATCACAATATTTCAATATTAAGGCATCAAAGTTCTTTAAATGAAGCTATTTATTTTGCATAGCTAAATACTATTCCATAATTACAAAGTAAATTATATTTTCAAAGTAAGTTCAAATATTTAAAAAAATATAAAGAGTGTGTGTTTGTGTGTGTGTGTAAATGTGAATGAGGTGTTCTAGGGGTAGAAGATATCAGATACTCATGAAGAGAAGTTACAAGGAGTTGTCAACCATGAGGTGTGGGTGTTGGTAACTGAATCCATTTCCTCTGCAGGAGCTGCATACTCTTCAATGTAGAGCCATTTCTCCAGATGGAGATGGTCAAGTCTTTCATGACTAACAATAAATCTATTTGTACAGATTAATTTTTAAATTTTCATTATATTTCTAACAGATTTTATCTAATTTGCTTGGCAATATTTTTAATTATGTTAATTTTATATTATTAATCATATGTCATAAATATTAACATATTACATCCAAATTGGCCCTACCTTTCCTCTGAATCCTAAAATTAATACAATTTTACAATCATACAAGCTTCTGGTCCCTTGCTCATGTTGACAATAAAAGTAAGGTTAGGTCTGATATTCTGTTAATTTCACAAATTGTGTATTTATCTGTTAGAAAATTATGCTTTGTACAAATTAAGCCCTTTATAGATGTTCAAGGCCAACTCAGATGACTGTGTAGAGGGCAGCCTTGACTTTAGGACCTCTGAATAGCATGACGAATTTCAGTGATAATTGATTCACAGTGCTAAACATCTATCCCTATTCTTCATGCTCTTGGTTTTTCAAAAGTATGGC